GTATCGGGAATATTCGTCTAGACATGTGGTTATCGTGACGACTCGTATACGTAACGGCTAATACAATTACGACTAGTTAATCGTTAATCACACAAGCCCATCACGAAGCGATGCTGAGAAGAACCCTCAGGAATAGCCCATCGCGTTCACAAATTATGAGTCCAAGAACTGACTTGTGTGATACTTGTCAACATTTTTACAACCGATTACAATACAATGCTCACCAAGAAAAAGGTGCCAGAGAATTACTAAAAAATTTTAAAGACTATCTTGCCAAAGCCAAAATAGAAAGAAATTACTATAATAAAAATACTAAACTGGCAAAAGAGCAAAAAAAACTGGTTGACCAAAATTATATACACAATATTACAGCATTGATGCTACTACTCATTACAGTTATGATTGAGCTCAAAATGTTCATATACCACACTCAGACCAGCAGGTGGGCAAATTTTATTATCTTAGTTGTTGCAAAGTACATTTATTTGGTATTCAAAATGAAGCAATTAGAGAACAACTGAATTATGTTCTAGATGAAAATGAAACAATTGGGAAAGATTCTAATTATAATGATACACTTAGTTTAATTTTTGATGGAATTAAAAAATTGAATAAGATTACTTGTGATAATCTGGTGGACAGAAGAAAAATAATAATACTATCTGATTTTATTTGTATTTGGTAATTTGTGGATATTATGAATTAAACTTCATGATTCCTGGACACACCAAATTCAAATGTGATGGCAGCTTTGGTTTGATTAAAAACTTTATTGAAAAACCACTGTAGATTGTGTGGATCATATTGTTGAAGTAGTAAAAAAATCCAGTTCAGCAGGATTGAATAAGCTCAATGTTATGAAAATGGTAAAGATTTTCAATACTTAGATCTTAATTCTGTATTAGGAATTTTCTTTAAAAAATTAAATGGTTTGCAAAAATATCAGCATTTCTTTTTGAAGCAGTTAATCCAGACATTGTCAAAACTCAAACAGTGGCTAATGATTCTTTTACTAAATTTAATTTGTGAAAAACAGAAAAATAAATGGTTCTGAAATTACCAAAAAATTTAAAGCTTTCTCAATTTTAGTATTAACACCACCTCCTTTGGATTACAAAAGACAAGAATACCTTTATCGAAGTATTCGTCCATTTGTCAGAGAAAAAGTCAAAGACATTACTTGTCCAAAGCCAATATGTACTGACAATGAATAAAATAATTATATACTTAATAATACTTTTACAAAAGAAAAATATTAAGTATTTATATGAAAAAGAAAAAGAAAAAATATGGTAAACATTTTAGGAACACAGCAAAAAGCAAATAAAGAATTACTAAACGAAATAGAATTATTGAAAAAGCAACTAGCAGAAAAAGAACAAACATTACAATTCAAACAATGAAATTAGAGAGTAAGAGTGAATAATTACTGATGTTTTGAGGGGTCAGTATAGTGGCTCTGATATAGATGAAAAAGCAATTAAGATAATTATGAAAGTTTATGTTAACCAAGAAAATTGGTCAGCATTTTGCAAGAATTATTCTACTGAACCAATTCGTAGAGGTTACATTCTCAATGTCTATAAATTTAATCATTACTACAATCTGACAAATAATCTTTATGGAGTAAGAAATAAGACTAAAAGAGATATCCTTATTAACCTTATCAAATTAAACTCTAATGAAAGCAAAGAGTTATTTAGAAAGTGAATAAATGAAGGTGAATTAGAAGACAACATAACAACTAAAAGGATATTGGAAAATGGATATGAAGAAAGTTGATGGTGTTATTTTTGCTTAGACATTAGCATCTTTCTATTGATGATTTAATGATGTTTTTTCATTTGGGGGGCTCTTATTCATGAGAGTTTACGATATTGTCGTAAAGATAGAGCGGTAGCATAAAAGTTACAGCTGTACAGTTATACATTTTGGCAGAGGTATGTAATTTGCACGACAATGATGAATTGTCCAACATTTACTACAAAGCAGTCAGCAAACATCTTAGCTCGACTCATGTTGGTCTTGCCAAGATACTTAGTCGTTGCTCTAGTATATACAACGTTATCATTTAAAGAATTTCCCAGCGACGTTTAGGTTAGCGGTCGAGTAGCCTTTACGATAAAATTAAGTGCTGTCCGTTACGTTTTCATTAAAAAAGAATACTCACAAGGTAGAGCACGGTGATCGCGTATCGTTCAGTTTATGTATTGTTGTTATACTGAATTTGTAATAATAAACGCTTGTCTTTAATTGAGGCAAACTTTTTATGCTTCGCTGGAGATTATTCTAATTCGGAACTTTTCGCTGATAATGTTTAATATCGATGTCACATGCTCATTCGGAACCAATAAGTGAGCAGGTATCACCGAATGCGGTAGATAATTTGTGTTCATATTGCTCGTACTAATAATACCCTTTGACTCTTGCCGATTCCTTCAAGTGTTCTACCGATTGTTTTCACGATGCAGCTTTGACACATTGGTTTCACATTGGAAGAGAAGGCTGGTATCTTTAGTTTAATTGATTAATAAACCGAACATCCGAATTTAACAAGTCTAAGGATTTTCTCTCCAAAGTAAAATCAGTCGAATGGAGTCATATGCCAATTTACCACTTGAAACTATAGGAAATATAGTGTTCGCAAGGGTTCCCATGCGTGCTCAGACACGTATGATATACGACGCAAAAATTAATTGCGAAAGGTGCGGTGAACTCAGTATGTCCTCGCGTCGACGATGGTGTAAATTATGCGAATCGAAAGATTTCTGTAACAACTTTAGTAATTGGACTAGTGGAAATAAGGCTATTGATCGAATAATTCAATATACACAATTAAATGCGAACGACGTTGACGAATACTTGGAGTGGATCCCGTTCCATAGACTTGCTGATTTTGCTAAAATGGGGGAGGGAAAATATAGCACTCTCGTGTCAGCTACTTGGCTAGATGGACCACGGCAGTTTTGGCATTCTGAAAATGAGGAGTATCAGAGAATCGGACCTACTAAAGTTGCGCTGAGAGTATTGGATAACAGAAGAAAGTTCTATAAAGATCTCCTACATCAAGTACGAACAATTTGCTGTCTATGAAATATTGCTTTGATCTTGGTCTTATTGCTATAAATAGTACTGCACATACTAATTTTCATTCATTTTGACAGTTAAAGTCTCAATTAAGATATACATTCCATGAGGAGTTTCAGTCTGCCTTCGGAATCACGCAGGATCCAGAGACGAAAAAGTACATGGTTGTAATGGAATATTCTCTACAAGGAGATCTATACCAATACCTTGATAGGATGCACAAAAAGTCGGATTTCAGATGGATTCGTAAGATCCAATGTTTGAGGTCAATAGCAGAAGGTTTAAGGTCGATTCACAGCGACAGGCTGATCCATGGTAGTCTTCATGGCGGCAATATTCTTCCCACTGATCCAATACCAGGACTTCCACCTCGGTTAAGGCTTAGTGATGCTGGTCTCTGTTGCTCTCCTAATGAAGCAAATACAAAGCATTATTTCGGAGTGTTACCGTACATGGCACCCGAGATTCTTCGTGGGCAACAAATAACAGCAGCAGCAGATGTGTACAGCGTTGGTCTTTTAATGTGGGTATTTGCCACTGAGCAAAGGCCCTTTTCTGATAGACCACATGATGTTCGGTTGGCAAGAGATATTCTTAATGGAGTGAGACCTGAGATTCCAGTTGGGACACCAGACTTTTTTGTGCAAATAATGTGCCAGTGTTGGCAAGATGAACCGCTGTCTCGTCCGACTTGTTATGATCTTGTGAAGATATTTCAAGGATGGTACGATGAAATTAACAATAAGAAACTAACTAGTGCCGCGAATCAATTTGGATTTGCCGATGAGAAAAGAGCAAAGATTATACAAGAAAGATATAAAGCTACTTCCTCATCCGATAGTGTAGACACGGCATCATCAATTAATATTCATCCTGAAGCTCTATACACTAGTCGACCATTAAACTTTAACTTAAACTCGGTTTGATAGACGCTTGTATTAGACTAATGTACATTATTAAAACACTGTAAACTTACTCGTATATAATAATAATATAGTGTCCAGGGTACTAACTAGACATAAATAGCGTGATATATATCACGTGACAAATACCTTCGCAAAGATATGGTATTTTCCGGAAAGGGTTGGCTATTATTATTACAACCTTGCATTTTAAATTCACTAATCGAATCTAACAAGTGAGTCACTCTGGTGAAGTGATAGGAAATACACTAGAGCGGAATTAAGGTGAGTAGTGCTGGAATGCCTTATCAGCGTGAAAACCCGTCTTCCAAATTTGGTTTTTGAGTTATTAATTGATATCATTTCACCATCTCTTAAGTTCTTTCAAAAAATTTTTGTTTTTGCCATTTATTGCTGAGCGCGTTTTCTCGACATGCAGATATCATTGACTGAAAAAGAGAGCCAGTCACTACGGCTAAAGTCAAATGTCAAACGCCTATACAGCACGCCCTCGAGCTATTATAAATTTACAAAGAAGAACAGATTATTGATGCAAACTACTCGAGAGCCCAGGGAAAGGAAGAATAAATTATTAAATTTTACTTCGAGAATCATGGGTGTGAAGAAAATGCTTTTCGCCTACTTCGTATACTTGTTTAACCAGACTATTTATGCTAGGCGTTAATTAATACCATGGTTTGAATACCAAGGTTCAAGGCTACGTCATTAAAACGTATTCTACGCTCAGCACGTGCATCATGTCGAATAAATACTTCTATTATGAGATATGCATATTAATATGAAGAACATAACAAGAAGACAGCTTTTAATATTTTATTTACCTCAATTTAAATTTACTGTAGTATTTAGATAAGGCAGAAAGCTTTTTGTTATCCAAAAGCCCATCAAGCGTTCTTTATTAGGCACTTACTTCAAAAAATAGGGGATTGTAAATTGTCTATGCTACTCCAACTCCTCTATAGTATTAATGATGGCAATATTTGCATGTCATCAACAATGGAACATCGGGACATATTAATATGGAAAATTCGATCAACATGTCAATTATCCCTGTTCCAATGGTTGTTATTCGATTCGGGCGGCCGAAATGGATCAAATTAAGGATGACGATAACTTTAATTCGAACTTAAGCCGCTCATTTCCATAGGCGTAATAGTAATGGCTTGCCAAATTTCTCTGATAGTCGAGTTCAAGAGATAGTCGCAAAAAATTACTGCTAAAAAGCGTTCCAAACCCCATAAGCATTCAATGTCGCGCAAAAGCGGGAAATTGCATAAACGCCAAAGGGGTAATGATTTGGGAGAGTGGGCTAAGCGCATCAATAGCCTACTGCATAACGGTCGAACCCAATATAACCAAACCTAGAATAAGCGGTAGTAGGCAACGGCCGTAATAGAAAACAATCTCACCTTGCCGGGAAGCTACAAAGATCAAAGCTTACGTTTGTGAGAACATTCGGGAATAAGACATTGCAACACATGTAATGTCGGGTCTGGATATCCACAAAGACAACGACTAGCGATTAATTATGCATGATGTGTATGATGTAGAATTTATCCGTGAGATGATAAATGTACAAGAGTAGGCTAACGTTGTTAGGAGTATGCATCGCGTATTTTTTGACGTCAGCGTACACAGAAATATTGTGTGATCATACTTCTCGTATACAAAAGAGAAGTGATTGGAATTCTCTTTCAGCTCAAAGCAGTATCTGTTCGACGTACAGGTGCATTTATCAGGCTATGGTTTGAACTTTCATATATGATGAGAAGTTTCCAATTAATGCAATTCGAAAATTATTTCATTTTTATTATTTTTATGTAAAAGTCTTGTTTTTAATATTATATTACTTGGGTAACACAATGGCAAACGCTTCTATATTTGTTGGTAGGCACTTCCGGGTGGTGTGATCACAAGTGTAATCAGGGCAGAAAGCATGTGTATCGGGAACGATGTTTGTATTTTAATAATAATACATTCTTCTTCATATTATTGAAATTAAAGATATGACTCAGTTGCACATTGAGGAGACAAATGGACGTCACTTGAACGGTACTTAATTCGGTTTGGATATAAAATAGTACGAATAATACACTCAGTTATCATTATTAACAATGTAATAAACATAAACAAATACACATATACTCACCTACGTACCTCAGTTGCTTTCTCTCCGTCGGGAAATGATTTCTTCGACTTGTCTAAACATGATCCAGAGACGATCGTCGAAATAAGTCCTAATGGTAGATATGCAAAGGTATTGAATACTACAAGAACGCATAATTCGCTTTACCATGACAACATCTAACTAGTCATTTACCTCCACAGTTGAACACTGTATTGGGAAAAGGTGCTTATAAAGTTGTATACAAAGCAATAGATCGTGAAGAGGGCTATGAAGTTGCCTGGAATTGCTTCCAGGTGAGCATTAAGATATACATGACACTCTCAAGAATGAAATTGAGGATTGATTGTCCGTCGGTTTCCATTTCTATTATTATCAAACAGACAACGAAAGCTCAGTTTAATGCTTTAAGCCAAGAGATAAGCATCCTTAAAGAAGTAAGACATCCCAACATCATCGCTTTCCATGATTGGTGGTATAGCAAAGACAATGAATTTATCTTTGTGGCTGAATTGATGACGTCTGGAACATTGCGAGAGTATGTGACTTGGATGTTTTTATGCAGAAAATCGTTATGCATTGCCGAATAGCGGCAGACCAACACACTTTTACATTAACTAACGATGATCCGTTATCGCGAATATGAATACCCTTCTTTTCATTTTGTTCTCCATATGGCTCAGATACATTCGCAAACTCTCTCTTCCAAACATGAAAATAGTCAAACGTTGGTCTCGTCAAATTCTAAAAGGTCTTATATATCTCCACTCTCACGATCCTCCAATCATTCATCGTGACATAAAATGCGACAATATCTTCATAAATGGCGCACATGGCGAAGTGAAAATTGGTGACATGGGGACGGCAAAGATGAAGTTGGGAAAGAAGTATACCGTCATAGGTACGCAGCGCATCTCTCAGATTGCAAAACAGCTTCAGTATATTTGTAAATGTGAACGATAAAAAATTGCGTTTGTAGGAACTCCCGAGTTTATGGCGCCCGAAATGTACGATGAGAAAGGATATAGCGAGAAAGTAGACATATATGCATTCGGGATGTGCTTACTGGAGATGGTGACTGGCGAATATCCATATAATGAGTGTAAGAATGCGGCACAGGTGTATAAGAAAGTGATTCAGGTATGAGTTTTTCGTAAAGCGTTTTATACTATTTGGTTGCGCTCGTCACTAGATTTATTGTTAAATTTTTTCTTATTTCTTTGAAATCTCTATGATATCCATCTGTCAGGGCAGCAGACCGGAGTGTCTTAATAAAGTTCAAGATCCAGAGGTGTTAGACTTAATAAATCATTGCATTGCACCAGAAAATGAAAGGTAGATCCCCAGTGCTATTGTTATTTTACAAACCGCATCCATCTGTTATTGACGAGCTCTCTTCCAATGTGTAAGGTATACCGCCCGACAAATAGTGAACCATCCTTTTCTTTTGGTTGAGCCAGAAGTAGTTCTACTAACTATGGATCCGGAAAAAGTAAATTTGAGTTTACAATTAGTATTTAAGGGTATGGACAAACTAGCGGTGAAGTTTAATTTTAATGTTGTTAAGGACACAGCCGAAGAAGTTGTCGGAGAAATGGTAAGCTTGCGTGTTGATTAATTTATTATTAAGTAATAATGTATTAATACTTCATTGCCTACTCTGTCACTATTGCTGATCTGAACGACTAGATCGAAGAGCAGGTACTTCTTGAGAAATATAAGACTCTGATAACTCACGAGATTAATCGCATTCTAAGAGAGCTCAATAAAATACAAAATGGTGATGACCAAAACAAAGAGGAAGCCAATTCACTGTGGCCAATATCTGGAGCCTCATCAACCGGATATGGTGGATCACGGTCAAATATAGCGTTGACAATATCTCCAGGGTCAATGGCGCAGACACAGATGGAAAGGAATTTTATGAATGGTATGATTAGCCCATTATATCCAGGGATGGAACCTAACCGAAGAAGAGAATGGTTGAATGATCCAGAAGATTCGTTACCGATGCGGGGTGAGTATATTTAGATGGCAACTACAGAAACCTGTGATAAGATATCGACCATATTATTCATGAGCTTTGGAAATAGTAGCAGTCGTCAACTATCCTTGTTACAGTTACTAAACTTCGGCACAAACCTACTCACTTAGAGTATCCAAACGATACCCCCATCGAAGAATTTGTCAGCGACACTGCTCAAGCACTACATCGTGATATGGAGAAGGCTAGACAATGGACGGATAAATTAAAAAAGGAAGATATTATGACGGTTGGTGATCTTCGTCGTTTGCATGATGAAGATTGGGCGGGCATTAAATTGACCGTATTCGCGACGCGTGCTCTAAAAAACGCACTTGCCGAGAGCACAAGACTACGTAGTCCGAGAAGCACTGCCAGTACGAATTCAAATGGCCATGAAGAAGGACTGTAATGAATATTGCGGATTGGGCTGTAAAGAGTAATTATATTGTAACTGAGCATTATAAGTTATAAGAAATGGCTGTCATCACAGTTAAAGTATCGATCTTATTACAACTGTCAACGGCTAGTAATCACCATGTACTCGTAGTATTTAGGTTACCTTTGATTATACTAATGGTTCGTATTTAGATATTTGTTGAACATTACGTTATTTAGAGTAGATAAGTTCATTACGGAAATATTCGTACTAAGACGTGACTGTCCAAAGACAGTTACACATGTATCTTTAGTGTATCATAATACATATTGTATTTGTTGTTAACTGACGGCTGCTTAATTAAATCACGTATGTAAGTATCATGAATATATGTGATAAAGTGCTATTTATTCAAAAGAATATTGCATCTCTTATGACCCATTTAATGTCCTTTAATCGCCTCTTCACACCCGGCA